GTCTTGCCTAGGGCAGCACGAAACCTAAATACACCGCTGCTCCTCGGCCGCTCTATAGCGGCAGCGGCTGATGAGAAGAGAGAACTGACACGGCGATCGCTGCTGTTGAAGGAGTAGAATCAGTGCCGCACTGTAGCTGTCCTTACTCCGGTGTTCTATCGAAAGCTCACTGTACAGAGCTCCAGTGTTTCTGAGCACCAGAGGTAGTTAGAGATCTCAATGAGTTGGAGCTTTCGATAGAACACCGGATCCTGCAGCTTCCTCCGCCCACCTCAGCTGCCATAGGCTGGGAGGAAGACTGCAGAGCTGCTACTGGCTGGAAGGACAGCACGGGAGAAGCAGGACACCTGGGACATGGAGGATGCTTTTTTCTGCATTACACTGCTGGCCTCTGTACTCTGCATCACACCACTGGCCTCTGCACTCTGCATTGTTACTGATCTCTGTTCTCTGTGTCACACCACTTACCTGGCGGAGTTAAGGGCGGGGCACGGTAGGGGTCAGGTGGCGCGACTGGTGGCGAGTAACTCTTAAGGCCTGGCTAGTAGCTCAGGACTTGAAATTTTGAGCCCTGCCCTACTCTATTCAAAACTGAACAAAACAAGTTTTTTCTTCTATTTAACAGTGTATACACTGCAGTGTGTGTCAGTATTGTTTGAAAACAGCACAGACTGATCTGCTAAAATAATCATGTGATAATGGAAGCCCTCTTTATGTTAGTGAAGGCTGATCCCGGGTGGTCGTCTGCTTACATATCCGCTATTCTATACTTTATAAAACTGTTGACAGCAGAGAGTGTCTGAGAACTGTGAAGAAGTCACGAGCTTCAGCTATGGAAGCTTGAGGTTAAGACGGCTGTTTATTCACCGTGGAGACACCCACTGAATCTGAACTCGCTGGCGGTGGAGTGAAAGCTTTTTGCAAGAATGTCAGAAGCAGCTGAGTCCAAGACGCCCGCACAACCCTCATGCACGATGCTGCGGCCAGCTTGCCGGTCATAATGACACGAATCCAGGGTCCATTACAGATGGATTACTATAGACTGTGCAAGCCGCTCCAGCCAATCCTCCCCCCATCTCCCCACCAACACCAATCAATGCCTCATCGATCGTTCAGTTCCTGGAGGCGGGCGGAGACTTCTGCTTTAACCCTTTCCCTGCTAGACATTCATGGGTTTACCTTAACCCTCTCCCCCATAATCCTTGCCCACTAGCATTTGTAAAAGAATTGTGCATAACAGGTTTCTTCAGTCTCTTTATAATTTACGTGAAACCAGGGGAATGCTAACCTAGATCCCTGCTAAACTCCTTTGCATTTCTTAAAGGACCTGTTTATTGTCAATACTATATCAAAAAGTATTTGGGTTCAAAAAGACTTGTGTTGTTTTAAATGAAAGAGAAGATCATATGCAAATGAGCAGCCTTTCTTCGGTACCAAGAGCCTTCATGCAAGGTGTCTGTGCCCTCCCCCTCTGACATGGTGTTAACGGAAAACATAAGTCATGCAGGAGCAGAGCAGTTAAAACACCAATGGCATCATGGAATTTGGTTTGGGTACACTAATGAGAAGGTGTGGCCGCACAGTGCGCCGTAATTTAACATTTCTTCTATTTGATAAATACCATTAAAAAAGTAAAATACAGTATGTATGAATTATGTGTCTTATCTGTCTGTCTAGCTATCTATTCTGTCTATCTGATCTTCTACAAGTGTACCTGTCGTGATCTGAAAAGTAGACCTAAACCCCACAGAGGCTCTTCTATCCCCTGAATACATAGACAGGTTACTGTAAATATTTAGGATTTTTACACAGCTATAAAGAGCTGGTGAAGGAGAGATTCCCGAAGAACCTTCTGCCAGTTGAGTCATACGCAGACATTAGACTTGGCAAAATCTCCCCATCCCTTCCTGTTGTTGTAGCCTCAATGCGTACCGGCATTTCTGCTCCAGCGGCCACCCTCATGAATAATGAACTCTGGACAGGCAATGTATAATTAAGGTGGGAAGTGTCTCCCCTATTTAAGGACACCTTCGATTGGGCCCGTGGTTAACGACGTTACCCAAAATCCTTCAGGCCAATTACTGGCTGATTGCGGATTATATAGCCACTGCTAATGTGATAAGGAAAGACACATCCGTTATAATGGCGATGTAGAAGTAACCGATCCTTTCATCTTATAAGATTTATCACATCTAGAGAGCCATCCAGGCTGAGGAAGAATGTTTTACTTTAAAAAAAAAGGTGCAGGGAATAAAATAAAGTGAGAAAACCATCTGTTTACAGTGAAGCCATTTTTTCATGCCCAAGTCGGCACACTGTGAACCAAAGAAAATGGATGAACTCCTGTCACGTCAATACCTAAGAGGTATTGTTACATGCAGTCATACTACCAATCGGATCCAGAACATACTTAGGAATTTTGTTTACATTTTGCATTCTACTGTCAGATATTTTCATTTCGGCATTCATAAAGAGCTTGTTACCTGGTAAATCACAGTAGATAAAAAGGTGTAACAATGTGTGCAATTACATATGTTGCTGAGCAGTGGCTATTTTCTTTATTGCAACTTTTTTTCAGCCCTGAATTACATGTTACACAGGAAGCCAGGTGAGCGTGTTAAAATTTATTTTCTCAAAATCAGCCACTGATATACTTAATATTGTAAATTTACCAAAATGTAGGTTTTGACAATACTCTCACATTTATACTTGCTCACTTTTCCATATTTTGATTATTGTATTTCATGCGCACACTTGTGAATACACCCTCTAGTGGACATCTGTATATCAAGCAACGTGATCATCTCTCCTGCCCTCTAGTGGTCATCTGTATATAAAGTAGTGTGATTATGTCTCCTGCCCTCTAGTGGTCATCTGTATATCAAGCAGTGTGATTATCCTTCCCTCCCTCTAGTGGTCATCTGTATATCAAGCAGTGTGATGATCTCTTTTTCCCTCTAGTGGTCATCTGTATATCAGGCAATGTGATTACCTTTTTCTCCCTCTAGTGGTCATCTGTATAGCAAGTAATGTGATTAGCGTTTCCTCACACCACTGTATATCAAGCAATGTAATTTGCATTCCCTTTCTCTAGTGGTCATCTGTATATGAAGCCGTGTGATTAGTCCTCCTTCCCTCTAATGGTCATACGTGCATCAAACAATGTGATTTTGCATTCCCTCTTTCTAGTGAACCTCTGTATATCAAACAGTGTGACTAGGGCACTTCTGTAGCCTGCTCTATAAGGCCCCGTTCACACCAAGGCGTTAAGTTTCGCGTTTTTTCCGCACTGAAACGCATGCAACATAAAATCCCATGTATTCCTATGGGGGCCGTTCACACAAACGTACTGAATCGGGTGGAAAAATACGCCTGATGTTTGAAATAGAAAAAAGAAAAGGCTAGTTGCACTCCTTACCGGTATGACCCCGTGATCGGGGAGGTGTGCATCATTGCTATGCCTGATGAAGGGACCCTGTGTGGCCCCGAAAGCGCTTGTGTAACTGACATGAGTTTGCAATAAAATCTACGAACTTTGATCCTATAAGGATTTGGTGTGCTGGTGACGTTTCTGCAATTGATGTTTGAAATAGTCCCTGAGCTTCTTTTGTGGCTCTTATCAGCCCATTTTGCTCCCTAGACTACAATGTAAACTTGCCGATCAGAGCGTTTCTTAGCACGTTTTTGCAGCTGAAACTACTTTTCATTGGACAACTGTAACTGTAAAAACATTTTGGGCTAGTTCACACCAGCCTTAGTGCGTTCCGGCCCGATTCGGTGCCGAAACACACGGGATCATATCTCGGCCAGCTCACTTTGTTTTGGGGCAGGATGGAGCATGGCGGTGCATTTAAGTCAATGGGACCGCGGCCACACCCGAATCGGGCCTTAACGCACTGGGGCTGGTGTGATCTAGCTCTTTAGCTTATTTATCATTAGTATTTTTATAGCCCTGGACATTTTATGCAGTGCTTTACATGATAAACATTCACATCAATCCCTGCCATCACAATCACACACATACTAGGGCCAATTTACTTACCAGCATTTATTTGGAGTATGTGAGGAAACTCGTACAAACAAAGGGAGAACATGCAAAATCCTTTGAACAGCAGATCCCAGTGCTGCAAAGCAGAAGTTCTAACCACTAAGGCACTATGCTGCCCAGCTAGGGAGTCCACCTTCAAGTAACCGAGCATTGTGTTTGTTCGACACAAACTTGACAAGCCTTGTGGTTTGGTAATATAAGCGAGTGCTTAAAACTTATTTTATGGTCTCGTAAAGCCGAACTCCTGGCTGAAATAAAACATCAAGTAATGCATTTATCAGTTCATTAAAAATTAAAGATATTTCAAATAGATGTAGGATAATTGCTTGAATCTGTTTTAATATCAGCTTCCTGTAATCTCCTGCACTCGGACTGAGCGAGCAAGGGCCTTCAATGGGAGCATCAGGCTCTGCTGTACTGCACATGTGCTGATAGGGAGTTTGCTGATAGAAGGATACAAAGCAAATAACTCACCAATGTGCTGTTCTTTCCATGTCCAGTCAGCAGAATGGGAACATGTTTCCTGATTAAACTGTGTTGCTGCTGGGAGTGGCTGTGCTGTCTGGCAGGGTGCTTTGATCACAGGACTAGCTGTTCAGAGTTACAGATAAGAGGGTAGATCATCTGTCAAATATGTAATTCAACTGTGTATTTTGCTGCTTTCCAAGAGTTTCTCTGTAACCTTTTTTTTAAAATCCACAGGATCCCCCTTTGCCCGGTCAAGCTTGAAAAGTGGAAAAAATGAGAGCTCGTCCTACCTCCGCCGCAAGGAAAAGATGTTCCGGTTTTTCATCCGCCGTATGGTTAAGGCACAAAGTTTTTACTGGTTTGTGCTGTGCGTTGTGGCACTGAACACGCTTTGTGTCGCCATCGTACACTACAACCAGCCAGACTGGCTCACCAAAGCCCTGTGTAAGTAGCTGACTCGACACTACCTTTTGGTCCTTTTATAATTAATAATATTATATTGTTTAAGGTTCTTGCAGAAAGGTACGTGTTCTCTGCCAACAGTTGTACCTTCAACCTTACAAAGAACCTCAGTAAGTGTTGTTGTTATAGAAAAACACTTAAAGTGGACCTATGGCCAGGCTATGGACATTCAAATATTTGCAAGTTCTTGAGGAACTGAAAATGAGCTTTCACAGCAAAAGCACTGAAGTCATTCAAGTATTTTTTGTCAGAGAGATGGAAGTTTTCTGCGAGTCACTGCTGGGTGGGGGAAGTGGGGTGAGCTGAGCTGCTGAGCCACTGCTTGGAGGAAGAAACGGGTAGCTGAGCTGCTGAGACACTGCAGGAAGTTGGGGGAGCTGAGCTACTGCGTCACTGTTGGGAAGGCGAGCAGGGGAGCTGAGATGCTGAGAGAACCACTTGAACAGCTTCAGTTTTTCTACTGCGAGATTTGAGGGTGATTTCCTCCACAGAGCATGCAGCTACAGAGGTTAATGATAGCTTGTTTTAAAGCTTGATTAATGCTTGTTAAGAGAAATAGAAACACACAAAGATTCATTAGACAAAGCATGAGCTTACTTTAAGGTTTTCTTACCCTGTAAAATGTTAAATCATTTTACCTTTCTGCATCATTGGTATATATTTTTCAGTCAGCAATTATATTATAAGTTAACAAAAGGTTTATTAAAGTAGTGCTTTATTCTTTCTTGTTATGTTATCAATAATAACCTTACATGATAGTTAAATAATGGTTTTATTCCAAGAGATAACAAGTGCACATCTGTAATATTCATGTATACGTGTTGAATGTTTTGTGTAGAAAGCTTTTGTAAGACTAATGAGCACAGTTAAGATAACTCATGCAGCTCAGTGAATTGATGCTTTTGTCATTAGCAAAGGATTCTAGGAGTCAGAAGAGAAATGGACTATTGAGTCACCTATACAATAATTTGGCAAACATTGAATATTGTATTAAATTGAAGTTCTGTGGAAGCACACTGTAATATTCCAGGCGTTAGCAGTAACATTTAAACTTTTTTCCTTAAATTTCTCCATAAAGAACAGCCTCAGCCAACATCTGGCATTGCACAACAAGCAGGTTCATTGCTGCGTTAGCACCTGACTCTCTAAAATGTCACATTGTGGATATTCTTCATCAGGAACTGTCCCCTAACAAGTGTTTTCTATGATGTTTAACCTACTTTTCTTGTAGCATTTTATATCAATATATCCTGTCAAATAAATTGAAAACAATACCAGATAAAAAGGAAAAGGATAGAGTTATTGTTGATTCTTATTTGTTTTACAGATTTTGCAGAGTTTGTTTTCCTGGGCCTCTTTCTGACCGAAATGTCCATGAAGATGTATGGTCTGGGTCCTCGACATTACTTTCACTCGTCCTTTAACTGTTTTGATTTTGGGGTGAGTTCTTCTGTCGTTAATAAACACTGTTTGATGCTGTTGTTTAATACTCTAACTTTACTTCAGATACCCAATGTTCAAGAATTCACATTTTCTAAACTGTATCTAAAGTCAAACTTTTTTTTCGTTCTTGGTAAAGTAGGGAAAAATTTAACCTCTGTCCGAATTTTATTGCTGGCTGTGTCCCCACTAGAAATAATCACCATCTCTCTTTGTCCTGATGACCAATAAAAGAGATGGTAAATACAAACTTTTACAGGTTTTACTAGAAAAGGAGGTGTGTGTAGAATTCTACTAATTGGGGAGTCTGTTCTGGCGACAACTAAGAGGGGAGTATTTCTCAAATCCTTTTGTGTTTCCTGGACATGCAGCACAGACAGCAAAATACATTTTATAGTTTTTAACTTTTCTCTACCTTTTTCAAAACTAATAAAAGAAAAAGCTTTTTGATGTACTTTTTTTTCCTGTGAACTTAATTGGGTATCGGAAGAAAGGTTAGGATGACTCTATTAAATGACAAATAAAAACTGAAAAATTAAAATCAAGCTTGAAGAAGGGAACTAAGTGTTTCTTAAAAACTGCATCTTAAATTATATTATGTGAAAGGTTTCGCCTATGTTTTACTTTGCTACAAATACAAATTTAATTACACTGGGGATTATCAAAAAGAATGGTTTAGTGGCTTTAACTTCCTGCAGGATAGTCATTTGACTATACAGCAGCATCTCCATGCTGACTGCAACAAGGGATTATGGGAAATAAGGCAGGGATGGCATTCATGAAGGTTTTCCAGTTTTTTTTTCTTGCAGGATACTCATGGCTGTCTTTGTTTCCTGAAAAATGTAGTTTGCCAGTTAATCACCAACCTCATCCTCCTCTTCAGTTGGTGATTTTTCAATGCAGTATAAACGCCATTTTTTTGTGTGTTGTTCTTACAGGTAATAGTGGGGAGTATCTTCGAAGTTATTTGGGCGGCAGTAAAACCAGGAACCTCTTTTGGGATCAGTGTGCTTCGAGCTCTGAGGCTTCTCCGTATTTTCAAAGTCACAAAGTAAGAGCTCCATCAGCCTTGTTGTGACCCTGTGTCACCCATGTTAGAGCTTGACCATTACAAGTTATGCTATAGGTTCATGTGATACGGGTTATAAACATGTTGCTGGTGTTTGCAGGTACTGGAACTCCTTGAGAAATTTGGTGGTGTCCTTGCTGAACTCCATGAAATCCATCGTCAGCCTTTTGTTTCTTCTTTTCCTCTTCATCGTGGTCTTCGCTCTTTTGGGGATGCAACTGTTTGGGGGACAGTAAGTGTCAGTCATGGCTCTGGTGATAATGTTGTTTATCTTTAGATACATGTTACCATGATCTATGGGATATAACATGGCAGCTCATAAACTGAGGATCTCTGATGTCTTTTGGGGGTGCAGAGCACTCAGCACTGGAGTCCCTAGAGATATAATAAATTGTTACGTGTAAAGAATATCTTTAGTTAGACTGTAGCTTTGTATGTAATGTGAAGGGTTACAACTCCTGTCAAGTTTTTACTGCTGTCTCTGTTCATGCTAGGTAGATTCTCCCTCTCTGTGTGTCCTGGTGACCATTCTCACTGGGACGAGAAGTCATTGGAAATCCACAATTTTACAATTGTCGCTGAAATAAGAGGTGAGATGAAATCTTCCAGTGGGGACACCTGATCTGGTAATAACTGCCCAGGAGTGGATTTCCTCTCACTTTAAAGAGATCTCCTCTCACTTCCTCTTGTACAGGACAGGTAGGGAAAGAAAGAACGAGACCCAGGCAATAAAAACTAAAAACAAAACACTGACTGCAGTTTTACCCATTTCACACTAATTAAATGTTTTGGCTTTATATAAATGTAACTCTTCAAACTACCTCCAAAATTGTCCAGCACTCATTGACAATTGAAACCATAACGTTGTGTAGGCTGATTGTATATAGTAAACCTTTTAAATGAACCTGTCCCAACTCCACAATAAGCTGATCCAGAAAAGGTAGAGGAAGCCATATACTCTTATGTACATTGTGAAGCTGTTAGATGGTGTGCAGAAACATTTATGTGACAGGGCACCAGCTATCAGACTTCAAGAAACCTCTTCTTATCTGACTCTCAAACTGAAGAGTCAGATATAGAAAACGTAAGTCACCAAGACAGAAGGTGGAAGGAAACCCAAAATGTTCTACCTTATTAAAAACATAAACAAAGTTTTAGCTTTAGATTAACTTTAAAGTAATGGATGTATTAATCTTTTATGTTATTCAGATTTTACTTTGAAGAGGAAACAAGAAACACAAATTTTGACACCTTCCCAACTGCCATTTTGACCGTTTTTCAGGTGGGTCTAAGATATGTTGATGTTAAAGCTCACAATTTGTATTGTTTGTTGTATTTATTGACTTTTCTGTTTGTTGTGCAACTAAAATGTTAAAGACTCCATTTCCATATTTATTATATTCTTTGGTGTCTCTGACTTCAGTTCCAGGAAACATGACCTGGGGAAGCGATTAGAACCTTTGCCTTGTGTTGCCAGGATACATCAGATTTTATATTCTGCATGTTTCTTTCTATGGTTTCCTCCCAGAATCCAGAAAACATATTGGAGTAATGTGTTGGTTCCGATAAATGTGATTGGTCAGCACTAAGCCATCAAATAAAGGACTTTAGATGTTCTGTCCTATGTACATGATATGATATGATATTATTTATCTCTGATTTCTTACTTCTGCCTATAATGTTGCTTGCAGATCCTGACAGGGGAGGACTGGAACAATGTCATGTACTTTGGGATCGAATCACAAGGGGGTGTCAGCAAAGGAATGTACTCCTGTATTTACTTCATCATCCTGACCCTGTTTGGAAACTGTATCCTTTGACATCAGGATAGTTTGATCATTTTAGCTCCCATACCTGTATACCCGCATGAACCAGAGCAATTTCTACATTTCCACTATGGGCCTATTGATTTTGCAATAACTTTGTCATTATTTAGTAATACATATATCATATTTCAAGATGGACAAGGCTTTAATTTAGCAATATTGTCTTTCAAAGATTATTTTATTCTTTATGCAATTAGCAGGCACCAAAGGTAACAAAATTAATCAGCAAAACTTATGATCTCTGCCGATTGCAGAGCTATAGGTCTGACTCAACAGGGGGACCCCTGCAGAGAGGACACTGTTGCCACACAAAGAGCAACGGTCCTTCTCTGCAGCATGCTGGCAGGGTAAAGCCTTTTCTGCTAAGGCTGCTTTCTAAAGATAAATAACTGTAACACTTTGCACATCTTTTGTTTTGATGTATTTAGCTAATTTAAGCCAAAAATGTAGTTGGACTTTAAGGCAAAACAAAACCTTCTTATGCGTAAAGGAAGGTGCCATGTTACCTTCTATTTAAATCTGCAGTTGCCATGGTGCTGCACATGTGATCAGCTATGACAGAAGCCATTTGAGGGCTTGAAAGATAAGTTGAGAGCTGACATAAGCACACTGCTAGCCTTGGCAGTTTTGACCAGAGGCTGCCTTGAATGGAGCATACAATGAGTATGGTCTAGGAGGCAGACAGTAAGTAAACCACTGGATAAAAAAACATTGGTATGTTTTATTTAAACCAGAACTAGCCCCACTAATCTAATGTCTCCCAAAACAGTGACTTTTAAGGCATGCCAACTGTCAAGGTTGCTAGTGTGCTCATTTCAGCTCTCAACCGAACTTTCAAGCCCTCAAATGGCTGGTGTCATAGCTGATCACATGTGCAACTGCAATCCAAATAGAGGCTAAGATTGCACCTTCTTTGGCTGTACACTGCACTTTAAGGATTTAATAACATATATTGAACATTTCTAGCTTGAGCTTTCTTTTGGGAAACAGTTAAATTGGTGGGTTCTGTTCCGCTTTAAATCCAACATATTTATGCTTGATAGGAGTATACCTTTAAAGAGAGACTCCAGTTGGTAAACAGTTCTTGTTACAAGGTTAAACCCTCATAAGTGATGCATAAACCCGTGGCATACATGTGCACAACAGTGACTTTTGGTAGAGATGGTCATGTTTGTGTATGAGCTCCTCTGGTTATCCATCACTGCTTGCAGTACTTTATCTGCCTGTACAGACTCATCACCAGTTTATTACATGTTCAAAATTTGTTTGTTCTGTCCTTAGCCTGAACCAGACACCCTCCTGAATGTATTTTTAGCCATTGCTGTCGACAATCTGGCCAACGCACAGGAACTTACGAAGGTACGGGGCTTACTGAAAATAATTTTAAAGGAGATGTGAACCCTTAACTAAATGACATTTAGTTTGATATGCACTGTTTAATATACATAATTGTCCTAAAAACCAATGCTTGTCTTGACCTTCTTTTGCACCCTTTGCTGCATCTCAGTGCTGATTATCTCCTGCAGCCTCTTTGTAGACACTTCCATTTTATATGCTCTCCAGTGATGGCTGCTTGGCATTTCTGATTGCGGATTCTTGATGGTGACAACAGTGGACCATGCCTGGTATTACTCTAAGGAAAGCTGCAGAGTATGGAAACTATAAAATGACTTTTGACATTATATGTCGACAGTTATATGAGATTTAAGTGATTAGGATTACGTATGCTTTAAAATTTCATGAAAATGTTGTAGGTAGTCACACATAAGACAATTTAGGGAGATTTATGTGTGTGTGTGTGTGTGTGTGTGTATGTGTGTAGTCATTATTCAAGAATATTTTCTCTCTTTTCTTGAAATGTGTTGAAAAACAATTGGCTGAAGTTTTTTTTATCATTTTCAGTTTTTCAGTCAAGCTGTCATGTGTTTGGTTCTCCCATATGATTGAAATCAGTGCTCCTGCATGAACATTTTCCTTATGATGATGTAAAAGACACACATTACCAATTGTGCAATTATCAGATGTTATAATCAAGCTGATCTCAATGGGTACATGGGAAAGCTGTTCTTTTTAAAAGAGAGGAAAGTAGTGTAACCTCTCTGCAAAATGTCTTTCCTTTCCTTGTAATTGAGTCACATTGGGTTTCCATATTGCTGGACTAAATAATGTCTCTGCCACAGGATGAGGAGGAGATGGAGGAGGCTACCAATCAGAAGCTGGCGCTCCAGAAAGCCAAAGAAGTGGCGGAAGTCAGCCCTATGTCCGCGGCCAACCTCTCAATCACAGCGTAAGGAATATAATTGTTTGTATTATACACAAACATGCAAACGTCTCTTAAAAGCACTTACACTTCCAGCACATGATCGGAGCTAACTCCAAGAAAGGGAGAGGAAAGCAGCTTTAAAAAAAACTAGTTCCTTTCCAGTTGCTATCATGTTCCGTCATGCTTGTACAGGCTCGTGAAATGTCAGTTGTAACCTACTGGGAAATGTTCAGATTTTGCTTTAAATAATGGGGGAATTGTAGAAAAATTAAATGCTGCAAACATTCTGTAGGTAGCAGTAGACTGCTTTGGAATAAATCACCGGCAGTAAGAATAATTTAAACAGATTCTCATGTAACAACATGGACACTTGATGAGCCTGTACTGCTGAAATAGAACAAGATAGTTCATGAGTACATTTACATAGCTGATTATCTTTCTGGCTAGTGGAAGTGGGATGCAATTTAAGTGTACATGAAAGGAACCATTTAAAAATACTTAATTTGACATCTCCACTTTAAGGGACTTTCCCTAATTCTATATGCAATACTAAAAAGCAATGTGTTGGTGGTTGCTTGGTTGACCCTGCACTGTCCTAATTCTAGCTATTGGCATCAATACTCCAAAACAATGAACATTAGCCCTAAATGGATGGTTAAGAGAGTTTAAAGTCTTGTCCAGTAGGTGTATAGTGGTCATGGCATAGACAGAACTGATCTAATTAGCTTTTACCTTTAACTTCCACCAGTGAACAGGCTTCCTGTCCTGTAATGTGTCAAGGTACGGACACTGACAGTCTACCAATTCATAGATTCTGTTTTGCAATTTATTTTCTGATTGGCTGACAGCAAAGAATTTAGTAGATTGGCATGCACACTCCTAGGGTGATAGGGCAGGCTGGGATATGTAGTTTTTCAACAGCAGGTTTTCCTAGCATGCACCAGACAGTTTTTAGGTCCATCCATATTGCAGACACAGGCTTGAATCCATAACTGGCGCCCGAGTTCAGGACAATCTGTCACAGCTCCCTCCAGCACATAAAAAGATTAAAAAGCAGATATGGACGTCAGATGGATGGTTTTGCTGAGCAGATGGCTTTTCTTTTTTTTTTAACCAGCGATGAATGCAGCAAGGCGGCTGCTTAACTCCCTATGCCGTGCTGGTGCTCAATACTGCGTTTTTATTTTACACCCAGCACTATCAATACACACAAAGACAACCAGTTACGTTTCAGAATTGTGACGCTACAGGCGCATAGACTTAGGAGTCAGGATGGGATTTCAGCCCATTTGGCAAAAAAAACCTCAGTGTGTAAAAGACTGAAGGATGAACAATGTGCCATTCTTGGCATAGAAACTTGGTCACATCAGTGCTAAAAAAAAAATGTATATTAGCAAAATGTGTTTTTAAAAAAACAGTGACAATAAAATTTTCAGGGTCCCACGAGGCAGAACATAAGATTTTCACATGCTGAACCTGACATATGTATTAAATAATTTGCCAACATAGAGGCAGAATGAGTAAGTAAAAGGATGCCATGGCATGAAAAATGGGATTACACCCTTACAAACCTGTTCAGATTCCAAAAAAACTCATTAAACTGTAGATGATGGTTTAGTGGTCCTCAAAGGTGAGGAAACCAATAAGGATTCCATAATTTAATTTTGGACATTGAATTGGATTCCCTGCCCCCTGTGAATCAGTATGACATAGTTAACCCCATAATAGCCTAGTACACTGGTGTAATTACGTAGAGCAAAGATTACACAGTAAGGGACCCACAAAGAGACAGATTTCCATTAATAGTGCCTTTAAGCACACAACATTTGGCATCCATTGCCCCTCTACCAGGTACACTTTCAGCACCATTTTTTAATGAGGTGTATGGTTAAAACGTCAAGTCGCACACTTGAGTACCTGTATTTAGGTTTCTGATGGCCAATGCATTTTGTTATGATTTTTATAAAACAAGCTTCTGTGACCATACACACCAGAGCATATGGCTTTATGCTTAATTATTGATCATCTGTGCAAGGCGCTAATGCTAGCATGTACTTTTTAATTAGTCAGAACGATTTTTAATTTAATGTGATCAGTCATCATCTAAATAACCCCACCAAGTGCCAGAATGTAAAGATATCTTCTCATTCTTGAGGCAACCTAGATCTTTACTCAATGTCAAGGGACCTAACAAGTTATCAGGTGACAAATTACTGCCTAGCACAGACATCGGAGTCGGTTCTGGTGGTAGGGGTAGCCAACAATGACTCACTTCCACGCTTTTATTAATCAATATATTAACATTGGTTATAAACTCTACTTAACCATCTTATCGCCAGAGGCTTTTCAGCTATGTAAATCTGGATTTTAGGGGAGATATTAAACTACATCTGTCATGAAAATGGCTATTGATCTCCTCCTGAAAATGCTAATTGACTGTCTGTGTCTGGTATCAGTATTTTTAGTTACCTCTTTCAGGTGATTGACAGGTGAAAGTTTTGAAACCAAAGCATTATAATGACAGCCAGACAGCTAACATTGTAAAGCCCATCTGCAGCCAAAATCTTTTTTTAATAGTGTATGTAAAGATCACAACCGCTGTCAAGATTTTATTGTGCCCTCACTCCCTATCCTAAAGAAATGAGAGGATGCAGTTGTCACCAGGATGGGAAGACACACATAGCAAAAACAAAAAACGAAAACCTGACATGTTCTAACCTTTCCTCACTGTACTAAATAAATGTTATTTTGTTGCCGTTGCTGCCCCCATCAAAGAGATATCCCAACACTTCCTGCCCGTTTGATACCCTATCACTGGAACAGGTAGTGAGGGAATATCAAGGAGCAATATTAAAACAGACAGAGGTTTTAATTATTTGTACAAAGCAAAAAAAAAAAAGGTTTTGGTCAGGCATTGGGCTTAAGGAGTAATTTTCTCATGTCAGGTTTAGGTTTCCTTTAATGGAGGTAATCAGGAGTGAGTGATAATGCAGATATATACAGTATTACATTTGTGCCTCAAAATGCTCTCGAATTTGGAAACAATGACTTCAAGAGTTTCCATCTAGACCAGAAACAGAACAACATTACAAGGCACACCGCAGAAGTGATACAGACAGGCTGCTGGCCTGCAGAGCTGACACTTTCTATGATTTGCCTTTTGTTCTTTTCTGGTTTGTATACTTTTTTCTTTTCTGTTTATTTTTCTCCTTTGTGTTTTTTTCTGCTCCTACTGTGGTCCTTGTGCTGTTCATACCTCATCATACCTCCCAGCATCCCCCGTGGATTTCATCCTGTATTCCCTAACCAGTAACTTGTGACCAGGGCTCACTGACATCACTGGTTGCCAGGAGGTGAGCTGGACGATCTGGCTTGTGTCAGGCCAAGCACCTGGTAACCAGTGATGTCAGCAAGCTGGGTGGGACGCCAGATAGAGCAAGTGACTGCGTGGTCCGGCATCTGCCCCCCCTTTTCCCTGAACACAAATCAGCACAACAAACACAAGGCCTCCCCCCCTCCTCCCAGTTAACATTCTCTGCCAGCATCCCCACCTTTTGAATGTATACTTTGGGATAAGCTGTCAAAGCCTGGGACCCCTCATTTAAATGATCTGTTAAAATAGAAGTGTTGTTGAGTTTGGAAGTAATATCCACTTATATGCGCCCGAGAACAATAATGTAATTTATTGCGGCTCACCAGTCCTTAGAGGTGGTGGTTGCATAACTTTTCAGGCTAAAAACATTTTCTACAAGTACAGAAAAATACCTGTTGATCCAGCCAGAAATTAAGGGAGCTTGTGCCAGCCTTCCCAGTTCTTTTCTGCAGACTACAGAACAACTCCCTCCTATGGTATGGAGATAAGTGCTGTTTCTCTATAGCTATAGTACAGTGAGTGAGCGTTGTCACCCTGGGGCAGGAAGTGTGTTACTGCAAGTATCACCTGATGAAAATAAAGGAAAAAAGCAGACAAAAAAACTACCTTCTAAAAAGGGACTATACACAGTGGGGTATAATACAATTTGGAAACCCTTTACTATTAGTAAGCTCATATGAGAATTATTTATGGGGGATGGAAAAAGTAAAGGGGATACACATATAATAAAGATTATTAAACCTAAATCCATCCAAAACTTTTTATCATTTTTGTTAGAGGAATTGTTAGAGCCTAAATCTTATTCATTTCTATGTTCCCATCTTCACCTTAGGAAGTGAGTGGAAGTTTCCCCAATGGTACCATAAAAACATAACAGATATTCAAACCCTTCACCATTCTATAGAAGTAAAAGAACAACATTTTGGCCAGGGTGGTGATTTATTGCATGTGACAGATGCCAACTTTAAGCTTGGCATGCAGAGATGAGGATATAGAAATAAAAATGGAGGAGAGAGAGAGCAAAGGAGAGTAAGAGAGAAATTGATATATGGGATAACTTATAATGGAGATTGTGTAGTGGTTAATGTCTTTATTTGGATGGTCATATTGGATTCATATGATAAGGTAGTGAAAAGAGCAGTGTTGTGCAGTAACACAGAGTAGCCAGATCAGATTTCAGCTTTTATAAGCAGATCCACCAAAGGCAAATTTTTACTGGCTGTTAACTTTACCACACTTTGCCCCTCGCTTGTTGCCTTTTTAAAAAAGCAAAATTCCTACCATTGCCTCCCTAGTGTATCCCATTTTTCAAAACATATTTAGCCTGTGCTCCAACCTCTTCCTCTTCACATACTCACACCCTTAGTCTTTTGTTCCGTACCCCACAGCTCTCCCTTATTCTTGCCTCATCCTTGGTTTAATTGTCTTCCTTGTAAAGCCCCAACTGCCCTTTTATCCTTCCCCTTTTTTATTTCTTATTTTATTTTCATACAATGATAGGGGTTCAAGGTTTTACTCCATGATCCCTCAGCTCTCCCGAAGTAAAACATTGATCTCCTCCCGATGTCCTCATGTACTTTATGGTTTGATATATTTTATTTCTCACTTTTTCTTTTCTTGCATGTGCAGTTTTGTAAAGCAAACTCGAGGT